CCTTCCTCCCAAGAACTAGACGACACATAGCTTGGAGGTCAACTGAGGTTTTTAATTAAGGCACAGTATTTATGTGGTTACATATGTATGGGGTTTCCCAAGTCACATTGCAGGGTTTGTCTAGTAGGGGACTACACGGGGGACTGAGTTTTACAGACCGAAAACCTATCATACATTGCTGTACCAAGCAGATAATTAACCCAGAATGCATTGCTAATGGGATTATCTCTTGGTACAGAGAAATACAGGTTTTACATTAAAATCCATAACAGACAATTTTCCTGCTAGGCAGCTACTAAACCCTTTATTACATAGCTGGGACGTGGGCGCACAGTTAAGGGAACTTGCGCTCAGATCCCAGCACAAATAACCGAACGCTGTTCATTTTCCACTTAGTTTCAAATGGTTGGGTTAACTGTGAGAATAAAAGTCCCGAAAGCAGAAAACTCCCGAACGGCTCGGAATCCAGCGGGGCTTGTGTTGCCGAGTAGCCGAATTTAGCTCCAGGCACTCGACGACAAAACCCCGCTTTCTTTCCGCGAGCAAAGATGGCCGCCGCCTCGTGTTCGGTACACGAATGGCGGCCACCCGCAATAGACCTCAATCAGCACGGATACATTGTTGCAAAGTACCTGTTAAAACACCCCTGGTGACTTTAAGAGAAACTGCCGTTTAGACAGCCATTTACACGAACGGGGCAGAAACAGACGAATCCACCACAATAAACAGACAGATGGTTCTGTCACAGTACCCAATTGGAGACACACGATCTGCTATGGGTGGTTTCCCATTCGGTACTTTGCTTATTCCACGAACAGTGCAGTGATTTACTGTTCCTGGATAACCAGGATGAACATTATCGGTATTCGTGTGCTGTAACACACAAATGTCGCATACATTGCACAATACGGTTAAAAGCAAAAAAAAACCAATATATAGTTCTGTTCTATAAGTGGCTAGATTTGCCACAGGTCTCGGTGCAGGTATTATACTGAGTTAGACAGCTGGCGGTCACGTTGAATAACATGTAGATATTGTGCTCACGGGGAGATGTAGGGTCACATTTAGTAACTGTTTTCTGACTCTATGCAGGCAGGTCACGCTGGTTCCTGAAGAAGCCGAGGACATGTGGCACACGTACAATTTATTGCAGGTTGGAGACAGCCTACGGGCATCAACGATAAGGTAGGACTGGATGAGTGGCATATTTGAGAGCCCATCCATAGACAAGTGTCCCCATGTAGCAGGGACAGTCCTATTTTGAGCCCAAATCTCTCTCTCCCTTGTTTCTATCCTAATATCTCTTTTCTAGTCACTCAGTCACTCCATATTATTGGTGTATAACAAAGCTCCACAGCAATAATACTCCCACTAATGTGAGTGTATAACAGAGCTCCACAGCAATAATTCTCCCACTAATGTGAGTGTATAACAGAGCTCCACAGCAATAATACTCCCAGTAATATCTTTAAACTGCAATACATGTGTTTAGAAATCAGTTTGCATATATAAGCTACATTGTACTTGTTATAAATTACATTTTAGTTCTATAAATGATTAGTAAGAACAGCCACACCCCTGAATTGAGTGTCCATATTTATCAATTTGAAATGTTAAAAGGCTAGCACCATGTCCAGTGATTTGAAGTGGTCTCAGGGCAAGGGGCAGTTTTTTTATTTTTGCATTGGCAATCTAAACAATACATAGCAATACACACGGGGCAAGCAGAGTTACTTACAACACAATGCTCCAGGCAAGTGTAGTGAAATCTGCCGTCACATTCTATGTTTCTATTAAGCATGCGTGGGATAGACATAAGGCTATCCTAACTATAAGATAATGCCAGGGACTAATGAAAGTATTTAGAGAATTGGGCAGACTAGATGGGCCGAATGGTTCTTATCTGCCGTCCCATTCTATGTTTTTATGAAATCAACACACTATGCCTTATTATACATAATTTACTACATTCTTGTCTTGCGATAACTTGAATCGTATGGTCTTTACAGGTTGGTCCTGAATTCTTTTTTTGCCAAAGATTTTTTTTTTTTTATTATTCATTTATAAATCAAAGGAATAGTAACAGATAAGAAAAGTAGTTGTTGGACTGACCGTGAGTAGTTGGATAATTTCTAAGCCTATGTATGAGCTCTGTCTGAAGAGCCGAGCCCATGGATGAACTGGACTTCACTCTATGCTTTTGTTATGTGTCTAAAAATAAAATCGTAAAATGTAGTGAAAAAGGAAAAGAGTGGTCGGTAGCATTGCGGGTTTAGGAAGTCGATTTTGAGTAGTTGAAGGACGGTGATTGTGACGAAGTGCCCTTCGCCACTTGTGCCTGGAGAGGACTGCTTGCCCGCCTCTTGCCCTGTGACTATGGACCCTGGGAGATTTGGCCCGTTCAATTCAGTATGATAGGAGTTATGTATTTTTTTTATCCTTGTGTGTTTTACTGGGAACATGTGCTCAATGGAGTCTGCTTCTATCCCTGGATAATTGGATTACTTTCCCCCATTGTCTCCAGGCTAGAGGGCTCTGTAAAACCAGTTTGGGCCTGATAGCCATGCTGCCAGCCAGGCCCCAAAAGATACTTTACTAACTTCTGAACCCCTGGTCTGATTCATGCCATTTTTGATATGTTGTTTCCCTGAATGGATTGATTGTGAATATATAATTTTAGAAGTTATGAATGCTGTAAAAACTGTATTATTTCTGGCCAGCAGATAATTGAGCTTTGTGTATTATTATCTAGCCTGGCCCAGAGGAGGAGTTTTGTGTTGCATAAATTGTGAGTTCTGTTAGCCAGTAAATCAGTCTTGTTCCAGCATTAAGCCTTGGCTCATGTTTGGGGGATTGGAGAAATACACTCTGGGGATTGCTATAATCACTATACTCCCCAGGGTATGATCACTAAGTTCTGCTAAGAGCTTGTTCCTGCTCTCTGGGGAAAGAGAGGTTCACCCACTGGAAGCTGGATCCTGGCCTTGGGTCCAGGGTGGGTGGAGACAGCAGAGACCCCGGCGCAGTTGCATCGCTGGAAGTGGGGTCTGCAGTGCTGATGGTGTCGGTTGGAGTGCTTGGAGTCCTCAGCGAGCACTAGGAGCATCGATTGGCGGAGGTGGTACTCAGTCGGAGTGCCAGCGGTCCGTCACAGTGATGAATAAGTAATTTGAGCTGTAAGACAGCTTATCGGTCTGGCATTTGTAAGCATTGGAGAGGGCGCCAGAGCAGAAGAGCAGACTGTCCCCCATTCTGTACTACGAGGATCAGTCTCCTTCTTCGCTATTAATCAATGGTTCCCACACTTTGCCAAATGTTGTAGTTGTGCTTCGAATTTGGGCTGTCGGTTTGTCCATAAGTTTTATGTCTTTTTGCTCTTTTGAACTATGGAACCAACGAGGGGAGGCTCTGCTTTGAGTTACAATTGGGCCTGTGCCCTTCGTGCCGCTAAGGTCAACTTGTGTAATAGTTTTTTGGATTGTTTTTGTCCATGAGTCTTGTGACCTGGACAGGAGAAACACCCATGGATTCTGATCCACTTGTCGTTGAAATACTCTTGTCAGTATGTCACCTACTACTCTCCAGAAATTCTGCACCTTTAGATGTTCCCACCACATGTGTCTGTAAGAGCATTAGATTTGCTAAGGTTAACCTTATACCCTGAGAGTGTTCTCTACTCCACTAGAACTTCCAATAAAGCTCATTGATTTGCTAAGGTGAGCAGGATATCCAGAGACCAGGAAGTGTTGATCTCCTACAGTTATGCCATGTATATTTGGGTAGCTCTGCATAGCCTGTAATAGTGGTTCCAATGACAATCTCAATAGCGGGGAGAGCGGGTATTCGTGTCTGTTGTTGTTGTTTCCTAATTTAAAAAGGGTAATTGGAGCTCCAGTGATTTTGGTTTCCGAGACTGTAATATATTTGATTAATTCCAGGAAAGTTCAGACTGAATCCGCCACAGGCAGTGTAGGCAGTAACCGTGTGCGCACAACACTAACAATCTGTGTGGAGACCATTGATTTTGACTCCCAGGCCTGTCAGTTGAGAGTCAAAGGAATCAATATCCAGGAAAACCAGTATGTAAAGGTAAGAAGAAATTTCTCCTCTGTCTGCCAGCCCCTGTTCACCCTGCCAGCCCCTGTGCTCTCAGTGTTCACCCTGCGCGCTCTGTGTACCTCCGCCTAACTTTGTGTTCTGCTTGTGCATCCGTTTTCCCTCCATAGATGGGCGGCTACCATACGATAGAACTGGAACTAAACCGCAAATTTACCCTGGCAAAAAAGCAGTGGGACAGCGTGGTCCTGGAACGAATTGGTAGGAGTTAATAATCAGTACTAGTCAATATTGAATGTAGCAAAATAGGGTTCAGATACATCTACTCTCCTGTCCCATCAGAACAGGCCTGTGACCCTGCATTCAGCGCTGATGTGGCTGCTGTGGTGATGCAGGAAGGTCTTGCACACATCTGCCTCGTCACTCCAAGTATGACACTTCTGCGAGCAAAGATTGAGACTAACATCCCAAGGAAGAGAAAAGGAAACTGCTCACAGCATGAAAAGGTATTTCCTGCCATCCTCACTTTCCCTTCACCTCTCCCTTCACCTCTCCCTTCACCTCTCCCTTCACCTCTCCCTTCACCTCTCCCTTCACCTCTCCCTTCACCTCTCCCTTCACCTCTCCCCGCTTTTCTCCTGTTTGCCTCTTCCCACGTTACACTGAATCTTTCTCCCTCTCCTTTTTTTTCTGTATCTCAGTCACGCTTATTCACTCTCTCTTCCTCAGTCTCTGGAGAAGTTCTATGAGCAAGTTATGCAGGGAATTATTCGACATATCAACTTTGATGGTGAGCTCATTTCTCTCTTACTGGGTTAAATGTGAATGATTGTGTATTTGAAATTTTGGAAAAAATAGAGAAACACTTTTCCAATTTGTCTATTTTACCCTAAAATTTAATTTTAATATGCCTAATGCTTTTTTTTCTCTGTCATTCTTCCCTTCTGTCTGTTCTTTATCTGTTCTCTGTTCTTGACCTGAATCTTCTGTCCTCCGTGATGAAGGAGGCTGAGATTATCTGTTCCTGGTCACAGTCTCTTGTCCCCAGTGATGAAGATGGCTGCGTTTCTCTGTTCCTCATCGCAGTATCTTGTCCTCAGTAATGGAGGACAAGATACTGCGCAGTCTCTTGTCTTCTGTTTCTGATCAGTCTCTTGTCCCCAGTGAAAAAGGAGGCTGGGTACCTCTGTTCCTGGCCACAGTCTCTTGTCCCCAGTAATAAAGGAGGCTCGTATCCTATGTTCCTGGCCACACTCTCTTGTCCCCAGTAATAAAGGAGGCTGGTATCCTCTGTTCCTGGCCGCAGTCTCTTGTCCCCAGTAATGAAGGAGGCTGGGATCCTCTGTTCCTGGCCACACTCTCTTGTCCCCTCTCTGTCTATAATGTCTGCAGAGTACCTTCTGTTGGAATCTTTTGACTGACTGACTGATTGAGGATATGTTACTTGGGCACCTGAAATGGACATTGTCAGAGATCATGCTCCCCATAAAAAGACAAATTATCTTTAACTAAAAGACTGCGGTGAATTTAAACCCAAACACTAATCAAAACGTCTTAATGAATTGACGAAACGTGCTCTGTAATAATCAGAATTGAGCAGGATCCTTGTACGGTCATTTGTGTTTGCTTGTTCGCCTTGTGGGGATATTTATGGGATAATAATAGTAAACAGTTGAGAATTGCCCACTAATTCAATTCTCAGATCCCAAAGAACGTTTATCGTAAGTGAAAGTATTTCATATAATTAATATCACAATGTATAAAAATAGATTTTATTTATGATAACCAATAATTAACAAATAATATTATGTAACATGCGTGACAATAATCAATGAATATCCAGTATAACATGGTATGCAATACAAAGGAATGGCTATACAGATTTCAATGGCTAAATAGCATTTCCTGTCAAGAATTCTGATGATTTATGAGGTATCCTCACAGACTGAAAGTGAAACTTTTCACAGCGAAGAACAGAATTCCTCAGAGTGCAGCGTAAGGTCGTAAAGTTTAGCTGACAGAATAGCCCTTTCAATGCTGGCTAGATCTCCTAGGTAATTAAGATCTATTATTATGTAATTTTAAATAAAATAACATTTAAACCAGTTCATTAGTCATTTCCTGGAACCATCTAATAAGAGAATCTACCATGATTTTTACAAAAGCAGAATTTTAATTCGCCTAAAAGATATCTTATCTTAATTTAGAGCAAATCAATACACCTGGATAAAAACAGCGGTATGCTAACACGTGATAATATCACATCAATATATAATTATTCTTAATTCCACCTGCAGAATGGAATGTTTATAACTATATATTCTTTAGTTAACTAAGATTTCTTAATATGGAAATCTGACCGTGCTTTATCCAGTCATATATAATGCTATTAATACATTTTAATTAATTTAATTAATTAAATGAAACCAGTATAATTACCAGTTGAGTAGATATTTCATCCGATTGGTAGTCTCAGGAACTTATTTGGATGTCTCTCTGCATGGAGGTTGGAGTCCCCAAACTTCCAATTCCTCTCTCCTCTCCTTTGCATCTCTTGCCTCTGCCTCCTCTCGTCTTCCCTTTGTCTTAACTTTTAAAGGGCCAGACTCTCTGTACGTCATCAGTTGATAACCCAATAGAAGCACTAGAGGTGTGGTTATCTTCCAGATCGCAAATTAGTTATTTGGTCTGTAGAGGGCAGTCTTGTCCTACTAAACATACCTATCCAGGGAAGAGTTAACTTTTCCTGGTGGCTATTTTGACGTCATTTCGCGTTATCTTTATAGCGCCATAACTTAAAATTTCAAAGGGTTTCTTACATTTTGTCCAGACTTAGCGTCTGCAATTCCTGCCATAATTTCTGATATGACAGATCATGAACTAAGTTTACCCTTTTCCATACAATGGTACCTTATATATATAGACAGTTAAATATTAAATTATTTAATCTTCTCTGTCACAATTGTCTGGGTTTAGATTTGATTATATTCTTCTTATCACTTGTTTATACTATGCTATGCATTCCTTAGCTCTGGCAAAGTGGCTAGTCTTACAGAAAGAAATCTTGTGTCTTTTTGTTAACTTGAAAATAACAAAATGGAGTCTGGTCTGTTCAGAGTGACTCAGAATATACACTTTTAGTTTCTATGATAGCACAAAATGTCTGCCGATATAAATACCCTGACAGCCTGTTAATGGACAATTGGCACTTACCTGGAGCACCATTACTGGCAGATTGTACGCATTAGAACACAATTTATTCTGTATTAAAACGAATAAATAAAAACTCTCTTGTCCCCAGTAATAAAGGAGGCTGGTATCCTCTGTTCCTGGCCAGTCTCTTGTCCCCAGTAATGAAGGAGGCTGGGATCCTCTTTTCTCAGTCTCTTGTTCTGTGATGATGAAGGCTAGGGTTCTCTGTTCCTGATCTCGTTTTTTGACAGCAGTAAATAAAGATCTCTCCCTCTCCTCTGTCTGTCTTTATGAACTCTATCCCTGACTTGCTTTCACTGTTAAACGGTCTAGGTTCGTGCTCTCAAATGTCCATCTCTGTCTCCATATCTTCCTCAGTGGTTAAGGTCATCCTGGTTGCATCTCCTGGCTTTGTCCGCGAGCAGTTCTGTGAGTTTCTCTTCCTTCGAGCTGTCAAACAAGAAATTAAAATCCTGTTGGAGAACCGTGGGAAATTTCTCCAAGTTCACAGCTCATCTGGACACAAATACTCGCTGACAGGTAGTGAACTCACATTATCTCACACTCACCAAGTAACCTCTTCACAGCTGCCTACATGTTAATATAGGAGAGAGATTCAGAGGGTGCTCATTAAATTAAAATTAATTACCTTGCAGGGTTAAGTCCTCCTCTATCAGACAGCCACTAGAGGGACTTCCATGTTCTTAGAACACGAAAAGTGTTTTAAACTACACTGGATGTCCTCCTGCTATGCATGAGGACCTCCAGCGTCGCCGGAATAACCATAGGAAAGCATAATGCTGCCGTTGGCGGGGGAGGAGAATGGGCGGGTTTTAGCAACATGGGATGGGGGTTGGTGATGTTTTCCTGGCACTGTAGAGTCCTTTTAAGGGTTTAAATGTGAAGATTCGATGAGTTTATTTGCCATTTCTCTGGCTAGTGACTATCATTGTGCTATATTGGCCTCCTGTCTGACTAATCTCAGAGTTTCTATGAGAGATTCATGTTGTTTAATCATTTTCTGGCATACATTGCAGGTTATTTCACCTATATATATATACACTCTATATATGTTCTAGTCATATTATCTGTTACAGAGGTTTTGTGCGATCCTGCAGTCACTGCACGTTTGGCAGACACAAAGGTAGGTAGCTGTGTGTATGTTATTCATAATCTGTGGAAGGTGTGCTGTTCTGTGTCCACGTAATGCAGATTGTTTGTTTCTGAATATACAAATTCTTTGAGTGTACATTTCTGGGTGCCCGTATAGCAGTGTGTGCGGTTCTGGGTGCCAGTTCTAACCTGTTGAATGTCTGTAATGGTCTCCTATTAATATTCTCTGACTTTCCCAGGCTGCGTCTGAGATAAAAGCTCTGGGAGACTTTTACAAAATGTTAAAGAATGAACCAGATCGAGCATTCTATGGGTGAGACAAATAACTTCTCCTGTGCTAACCCCACACTCTGCTCCTGTGCTATCCCCACTCTCGGCATTGCTCCAGCTGTGTGTTACCTCTTGGCATTGCATTCTCTATGTATCTTATGAGAACATTCTCAGCTATTTCTGTGCTCAGTAAGCCATGACTGCCGGCCCTTACTATGTGTGATTAATGGAGCTCTGCTATTCCAGGATTAAACAGGTGGAGAAAGCAAACGAAGCTCTGGCCATCGACACCTTACTAGTTACAGACGAGCTGTTCCGGTAAGCCATGACTCCGTGGCACCCTGCCGCGTCCCGCTGTACCGTGGCACCCTACCTACCGCATCTTACTCTCTCTGTTACAGGCATCAGGATGTGGCCACAAGGAGTCGCTATGTCAGACTGGTGGACAGTGTGAAAGATAATGGGGGAACAGTGAGGTGAGATGGCCAGGGAGAGGTTTAATAGAAACTTAATGGGTGCAGGATGGCCGGGGAGAGGTGAAGTAGAGAAGTAATGGGTGCAGGATTGCCGGGGAGAGTTGAAGTAGAGAAGTAATGGGTGCAGGATGTCTGGGGAGAGGTGAAGTAGAGACTTAATGGGTGCAGGATGGCCGAGGAGAGGTGAAGTAGAGAAGTAATGGGTGCAGGATGGCCGGGCACAGGTGAAGTAGAGAAGTAATGGGTACAGGATGGCTGGGGAGAGGTGAAGTAGAGACGTAATGGGTGCAAGATGGCCGAGGAGAGGTGAAGTAGAGAAGTAATGGGTGCAGGATTGCCGGGGAGAGTTGAAGTAGAGAAGTAATGGGTGCAGGATGGCTGGGGAGAGGTGAAGTAGAGAAGTAATGGGTGCAAGATGGCTGGGGAGAGTTGAAGTAGAGAAGTAATGGGTGCAAGATGGCCGGGGAGAGGTGAAGTAGAGAAGTAATGGGTGCAAGATGGCTGGGGAGAGTTGAAGTAGAGAAGTAATGGGTGCAGGATGGCTGGGGAGAGGTGAAGTAGAGAAGTAATGGGTACAGGATGGCTGGGGAGAGGTGAAGTAGAGAAGTAATGGGTGCAAGATGGCCGGGGAGAGGTGAAGTAGAGAAGTAATGGGTGCAGGATTGCCGGGGAGAGTTGAAGTAGAGAAGTAATGGGTGCAGGATTGCCGGGGAGAGTTGAAGTAGAGAAGTAATGGGTGCAGGATGTCTGGGGAGAGGTGAAGTAGAGACGTAATGGGTGCAGGATGGCCGAGGAGAGGTGAAGTAGAGAAGTAATGGGTGCAGGATGGCCGGGGAGAGGTGAAGTAGAGAAGTAATGGGTGCAGGATGGCTGGGGAGAGGTGAAGTAGAGACGTAATGGGTGCAAGATGGCCGGGGAGAGGTGAAGTAGAGACGTAATGGGTGCAGGATGGCCGGGGAGAGTTGAAGTAGAGACTTAATGGGTGCAGGATGGCCCGGGAGAGGTGAAGTAGAGGTGCAATGCAAGAGCGAATCCTAGTGAGGCTTGAATGGAAGGAGTTTAATTTAGATGGTAGAAATATAAAGAGTAGTCAATATAAATCTAATTTTCTTTATTTACAGGATATTTTCCAGTCTACATGTCTCAGGAGAACGTGAGTAACCCTAAATATGGTGGTAATATATCAGAAAGGGTGAAAAGTATAGGTCATCTAAGCAGTTAGTGAGGAAGATAAATAGTGAGATTGGGTGGATAAGGGATTTACATGTATAAAATAATGTGTGGAATTTAGGACCATAGAATGAAAACTCCAGCACGCTGTAGTGATTATAGTACCAAGTGAAAATAGACAGACAAGTGCTAATATTTGATAGCTTGGCTGGGGTCTGCTGGTCAACACTTCTTATCACAGAGCATAATATCTACTGAGCTAAGCCTTGCACCTAGGGCTATAGGTTGAGTGGAAGACATGACTAATGTCTGCAAACATTTTGTTTACATTGTGGGTGGAGGTAGCAGGGCACTCTTGGCACCATTACACATGCTACAGTGGCTATAGTACTTTATAAGAGTTGAATAAGCACGGTCCAGATATGGTCAACAGGGTGATACTGTTTGGATTTTGTCAGTAGCTCTAAACTCACAAGACTTGTTTCATCTTAGAATTGAACCAGCTGACTGGAGTAGCTGCCATCTTGCGTTTCCCTGTGCCAGATCTTTCTGATGAGGAATCCAGTTCGGAGGACGATTAACGGGTCACTTTTTTGCCTGTGAAGGTCTTAGTACTTTGAGGCAGACTGTGCATACTTAACATCTTGCTTGGGAAACTACCAAGGAACATGAAGGTTGATTTGCCGCCCTCCACAGTATTTATTAATACGATCACCAGAATCATGGGGACAAAAGGCCGCAGTCAGGTTGTGAATATTGGACTATGTGATGGCCCCGTCTTTCTGGAGTCACAAGCTCACTGCTCTCATGTATTTAGAATGTGTCACTCCACAGTCATTGTGGAGCCCTGTCAAGCTGTTTGGTGGTTCTGAATGAATGGTATAATAAACATGTGAGCTTTTTAAAATAAATCTCCTAAATCCCTGGTCCTCCCTGATAATATAAATTTTGTGGATTGGCACTTCATTGGTGGACATTGGGTTACTGTCTATCGCTATAGAGAAGAGATCGGTATCTGGGGCTGAAAGAGATCCTGCTGATACTATAACTCATTCCTACATATCTACAGAAATCACATCACTTAACATCGTTGTAGAAGCTTGTTGTAACGGACCTGCTATACTCCAACGGAGTATATCCGTTACAACTCTCCCGAATCCCAAGTGAAATGGTGATTATAACTCCAAGCTACTCAAACATCAGCCTAGACTTGCTGAAGGGTACAAATGAACTGTTTTATTATGGCCCACTTATATACTCAGTCCCCCAGCATGGGGTCTCAAGCAAGGACAAGACAAAACACATATAGCAAATATAGATAATACATGTAAGGAACGCTTGGTATTTTTGTATACCCGTTCGTTCGTATGCTTCCGAAATGCTAGGGACTTGGTGATTAAAACCTGTTTGTGTGGAGCGCTGATTCGTCCGTTCCTGAAGTCCAAGTTGTGCATAAAACTAAATCCAGTGGTTCGTCGGTCACATACCCAAACATCAGTAGAGACTCGATGAATGGTACAACAGGAATGTTTTATTATGGCCAGACGGCTCACTTTTATACACAGACCCCCAGGAGGGGGTTTCAAGCAAAAACATAGTAAAACACTCCCTCAACTGTGTCTGGGACATATAAAATACCCCAAACACATATAGGAACCCTACAAATATAATATCCCCGGATAGCCTGGATCTGAGCCCTCAAGTTGTCCAAATAGCACTCCGATCCCTCGAACAGAGCCAAATCACCACTGGGGTAAAGATTTGACTGACTGCACATGTGGTGTCTGCCCGAATCAGTTCCAGAAAATCAGTGGTAGCGGTTTGTCATTTTCAAGCGTTTCAAAAAAAGACTGATTCCCCTGGCTCATAGGTAGTGATTGTTCGTCTTGTTAGTGCTAACAATCCTACCGCACAGCGCTCTCCCAGCTTGTCGTGGGAAAAAGCAGGCATACAAATGATATCACTGGTGTTCGCGGGGTCGAGTGTCTGACTTATAGTTCCAGACACTCGACGATCAGGCACAGCTGCCTGCGTTCGTGCAACAAGATGACCACTGTTTTTTTTTTTTGTTTTTTTTTTAGCACACGTGTTGTTCTGTTATACAAACGGCCACCACACAGAGCACTTGTTTGTGGTTTCTTTGCTGTTTAATGAGTTAGGGGGTGTTCAGTAGATTAGTTACCGAACTGGGGAAACTTGAATGGGGATTCAGGAACATATTAACATACTTAGCGGGAAAATGTCTTAAACACATGAAAAATAGTGAGTTTTTTTGTTACATAGAGTAGACATTCTCACAATTAAAGAGCAGAACCCTTTCTGTCTGTAACAGGTGGATGGGGGTTCTCCCCTATACCTGTCATTTCAAGGGACACTATAGTCACCTGAACAACTTTAGCTTAATGAAGCAGTTTTGGTGTATAGAACATGCCCCTGTAGCCTCACTGCTCAATCCTCTGCCATTTAGGAGTTAAATCCCTTTGTTTATGAACCCTAGTCACACCTCCCTGCATGTGACTTGCACAGCCTTCCATAAACACTTCCTGTAAAGAGAGCCCCATTTAGGCTTTCTTTATTGCAAGTTCTGTTTAATTAAGATTTTCTTATCCCCTGCTATGTTAATAGCTTGCTAGACCTGCAAGAGCCTCCTGTATGTGATTAAAGTTCAATTTAGAGATTGAGATACAATTATTTAAGGTAAATGAAACCAGTTTTTTTTTCATGCAGGCTCTGTCAATCATAGCCAGGGGAGGTGTGGCTAGGGCTGCATAAACAGAAACAAAGTGATTTAACTCCTAAATGACAGTGAATTGAGCAGTGAAATTGCAGGGGAATGATCTATACACTAAAACTGCTTTATTTAGCTAAAGTAATTTAGGTGACTATAATGTTCCTTTCAGTATGGGGGACAGACAGGTTACAACACCAACCAGCACGTTCCAGGTAGGAGACACAAAGTGAAAGAAAAGCTGTCCACAGTGAAAACAAAAAGCCATCTTACACAATGAGCTCACTGTAAAATCACAAGAGACAACACACAAATCCCTTCACTAACATAGGAAACCTCGCTAGTGTAGACAAAGAGGTGAGAACACTCCATAAATGTGGGAAAGGTGAGATAAATCCCTACTTGCTTTCAGAACAGTGACTGCATCTAGCTGATGGTGAGATTGTCGATACTGCACCCTCCGCTTCATAGAGGAGAGACTGCACCCTCCGCTTCATAGAGCAGAGCGAGGAGAGACTGCACCCTCCGCTTCATAGAGCAGAACGAGGAGAGACTGCACCCTCCGCTTCATAGAGCAGACAGAGGAGAGACTGCACCCTCCGCTTCATAGAAAAGAGCGAGGAGAGACTGCACCCTCTGCTTCATAGAGCAGACAGAGGAGAGACTGCACCCTCTGCTTCATAGAGCAGACAGAGGAGAGACTGCACCCTCTGCTTCATAGAGAAGAGCGAGGAGAGACTGCACCCTCTGCTTCATAGAGCAGACAGAGGAGAGACTGCACCCTCTGCTTCATAGAGCAGACAGAGGAGAGACTGCACCCTCTGCTTCATAGAGCAGAGCGAGGAGAGACTGCACCCTCTGCTTCATAGAGCAGACAGAGGAGAGACTGCACCCTCTGCTTCATAGAGGAGACAGAGGAGAGCCTGATAAACCCTGGCTCTGGGTGGGATTAGCTCCTATGGAGAGGGAAATGTTCCCACAATCTTGTGTCCTGGAGAGATCAAACGTTCTTCTGCAGCACTGTATGGGAGACAGAACCAGGAGCACACCAATGGCACAGAATAAAAGAATATATTTATTAGTAAAACAATTAAAACTGCTTACTCAAGTTGTGGGCTTGTTACATAGCTGAAAAGAGACTTGCGTCCATCACGTTCAGCCTCTCACACATGGGTTTTTGCTGTTGATCCAAAAGAAGGCAAAAAACCCAGTTTGAAGCGCTTCCAATTTTGCAACAAACTAGGAAATAATTCCTTCTTGACCCCAGAATGGCAGTCAGATTTATCCTTGGATCAAGCAGTTATTACCCTATTACCCTCGTGATGTACAAGTTCCCACGAAAAACGCTCAAGTAAAAGTCAGTAGCTCCAGGAGATGAGGTGGATTTTTAAATTAAAAACTTTGCACCCAACCGGGTTAAATAGCGACTTCGAGTTTTGACACTTTTTATGATCTACCCCTTTAAGAATTTATAAAGACCTCTTTCAATAGATTGTCTAGACAGTAATTTATCTTATGATTTGCCTTTTTTAAGACTTTATTGGCTTGGGATCAAAAATATTTAACCATGATATATTTATTATTTTAGCAATAGATTTTACTATAAGGTATTCAATCTAACTTATTTTATGGTCGGAACAGATCAACAGTATTTTTTAAATAAACAGTATTGAGTAGATTAGTATTAATCATTTGAACCCACATTTAACATTTTAATTTAACTTGGGGGGTGTAATATTGATGTATATTAAAATCCCCAATATTGAAAGGCATCATTAATCTATACCATTTTTTTGTGGGGGATGGGGGGTTCCCAATCACTAAACTTCGATTTAGGCGATAATCCCCTTTTCCCCCCTGTATAGAGTTCAAGTAAACTTTAGAGAAAAATATATTCATTCTCTTCACTATTTATCCTCTTAAATAATTAATTCTTAGATAAACTATATTTGGTAGATAATCCCTTTACCATTTTAAAGCCAATAAAAATATATGAAGAAATAAATGTAATCATATGGTTTGTAATATGTGATGTGATAAAAATGGATTTATATTTGGAATTATGTTATTTTCTGTTCCCTAATATGAATATTAATTGGACGATTTGTAAGGAAGAGGAATGGGATTTACATAATCTGTGAACCCCACCAATAAGAAACAAATGAGGGCGGAACTATGGATACAAATTGACAGCAAGCAGCATGAACAGGAAGTCTGAGGAAGCCCAAGTCACGTGGGTGAAACGCGTTGCGTCACAAGGGGGCAGAGCCAGGATCCGGAACACAGAAGTAACTGGAGCTATTGACTTTTACTTAAGCATTTTTTGTGGGAACTTGTACATCACAAGCCCACAACTTGCGGAGTGGGCAGTTTTACTAATAAATATATTCTTTTGTTCTGTCTCCCATACAGTGCTGCAAAATAACGTTTGGTCTCTCTGGGACACAAGATTGTGGGAACATTTCCCTCTCCATGGGAGCTAATCCCACCCAGAGCCAGGGTTTATCAGGCTCTGGGAAATGTGAGTGTGAACTCCCAACCTTTATATAAGTGTGCACTACAAGAATATTTGAAACCAGATGGTCTGCACTATATTGTCTATGTATGTATCTTTTCAGATGGTTTTTAAGAAAATTCCCCGGTGAGATCTAAACTAACCATATACACAAAATAATATTTTAGCGCAACATCCGCTTTTGGTTATTGGATCATAGAGCAGAGAGACTGCACCCTCAGGTTCATAGAGCAGAGAGACTGCACCCTAACGTTCATAGAGGAGAGAGACTGCACCCTTAGGGTCATAGAGAAGAAAGAGGAGAGCGACTGCACCATCAGGTTTATAGAGAAGAGAGACTGCTCCCTCGGGGTCATAGGGGAGAGAGACTGCTCCCTCGGGGTCATAGAGGAGAGAGATTGCTCCCTCAGGTTCATAGAAGAGAGACACTACACCCTCAGGTTCATAGAGGAGAGAGACTGCTCCCTCAGGTTCATAGAGGAAAGAGAGAGACTGCACCCTCAGGTTCATAGAGGAGAGAGAGAGACTGCTCCCTCAGGTTCGTAGAGGAGAGAGAGAGACTGCTCCCTCAGGTTCATAGAGGAGAGAGAGAGACTGCACCCTCAGGTTTATAGACGAGAGAGAGAGACTGTACCCTCAGGTTCATAGAGGAGAGAGACTGCTCCCTCAGGTTCATAGAGGAGAGAGAGAGACTGCACCCTCAGGTTTATAGACAAGAGAGAGAGACTGCCCCCTCAGATTTATAGAGGAGAGAGAGACTGCACCCTCAGGTTCATAGAGGAAAGAGAGACTGCACCCTCAGGTTCATCGAGGAAAGAGAGACTGCACCCTCAGGTTCATAGAGGAGAGAGAGACAGCACACTCTGGTTCATAGAGGAGAGAGAGACTGCTCCCTCAGGTTCATAGAGGAAAGAGAGACTGCACCCTCAGGTTCATAGAGGAAAGAGAGACTGCACCCTCAGGTTCATAGAGGAGAGAGAGACAGCACGCTCTGGTTCATAGAGGAAAGAGAGACTGCACGCTCCGGTTCATAGAGGAGAGAGAGACTGCACCCTCAGGTTCATAGAGGAGAGAGAGACTGCACCCTCAGGTTCATAGAGGAAAGGGAGGAGAGAGACTGCTCCCTCAGGTTCATAGAGGAGAGAGAGACTGCACCCACAAGTTTATAGAGGAGAGAGACTGCACGCTCAGGTTCATAGAGGAAAGAGAGACTGCACCCTCAGGTTCATAGAGGAGAGAGAGACTGCACCCACAAGTTTATAGAGGAGAGAGACTACACCCTCAGGTTCATAGAGGAAAGGGAGGAGAGAGACTGCTCCCTCAGGTTCATAGAGGAGAGAGAGACTGCACCCACAAGTTTATAGAGGAGAGAGACTGCACGCTCAGGTTCATAGAGGAAAGAGAGACTGCACCCTCAGGTTCATAGAGGAGAGAGAGACTGCACCCTCAGATAGAGGAGAGAGACTGCTCCCTCAGGTTCATAGAGGAAAGAGACTGCACCCTCTCAGGTTCATAGAGGAGAGAGACAGCACCCTCAAGTTCATAAAGGAGAGAGATGAGAGTGCCTCTGTGATATAATCTCACCCTATCACACAGCACTCTGCTATAATCTCAGCCTATCACACGGCACTATCTGATATAATCTTAGCCAATCACACGGTACTCTCTGATATAATCTCATCCTATCACACGGCACTCTGATATAATCTCACCCCATTATACGGCACTCTGATATAATCTCACCCTATCACACAGCACTCTGATATAATCTCACCCTATCACACACTCTGATATATTCTCACTATCACATGGCACTCTGATATAGTCTCACCCTAAAACAGCACTCTGATATATTCTCACCCTATCACAGCACTCTGATATTCCTCACCCTATCACATGGCACTCTGATATAATCTCATCCTATCACACAGCACTCTCTGATATATTCTCACCCTATCACACAGCACTCTGATATATTCTCACCCTATCACACAGCACTCTCTGATATAATCTCACCCCATTATACGGCACTCTGATATAATCTCACCCTATCACACAGCACTCTGATATATTCTCACCCTATCACACAGCACTCTCTGATATAATCTCACCCCATTATACGGCACTCTGATATAATCTCACCCTATCACACAGCACTCTCTGATATAATCTCACCCCATTATACGGCACTCTGATATATTCTCACCCTATCACACAGCACTCTCTGATATAATCTCACCCCATTATACGGCACTCTGATATAATCTCACCCTATCACACGGCCCTCTGATATATTCTCACCCTATCACACGGCACTCTGATATATTCTCACCCTATCACACAGCACTCTGATATAATCTCACCCCATTATACGGTACTCTGATATAATCTCACCCTATCACACGGCACTCTGATAAAATCTCACCCTATTATACGGCACTTTGATATAATCTCACCCTATCACACGGCACTCTGATTTAATATCACCCTATCACACAGCACTCTCTGATATAATCTTCTATCTATCTATGGATTTATATAGTGTATAACAGAGCGAGCCCTGCTTCTATCTATCTATGGATTTATATAGTGTATAAACAGAGCGAGCCTTGCTTCTATCTATCTATGGATTTATATAGTGTATAAACAGAGCAAGCCCTGCTTCTATCTATCTATGGATTTATATAGTGTATAAACAGAGCGAGCCCTGCTTCTATCTATGGATTTATATAGTGTATAAACAGAGCGAGCAATGCTTCTATCTATCTATATATTTATATAATGTATAAACAGAGCGAGCCCTGCTTCTTCTATCTATCTATGGATTTATATAGTGTATAAACAGAGCGAGTCCTGCTTCTATCTATCTATATATTTATATAATGTATAAACAGAGCGAGCCCTGCTTCTATCTATCTATGGATTTATATAGTGTAAAAACAGAGCGAGTCCTGCTTCTATCTATCTATATATTTATATAATGTATAAACAGAGCGAGCCCTGCTTCTATCTATCTATGGATTTATATAGTGTATAAACAGAGCGAGCCCTGCTTCTATCTATGGATTTATATAGTGTATAAACAGAGCGAGCCCTGCTTCTATCTATCTATGGATTTATATAGTGTATAAACAGAACGAGCCCTGCTTCTATCTATCTATGGATTTATATAGTGTAAAAACAGAGCGAGCCCTGCTTCTATCTATCTATGGATTTATATAGTGTATAAACAGAGCGAGCCCTGCTTCTATCTATCTATGGATTTATATAGTGTATAAACAGAATGAGCCCTGCTTCTATCTATGGATTTATATAGTGTATAAACAGAGCGAGCCCTGCTTCTATCTATCTATGGATTTATATAGTGTATAAACAGAGCGAGCCCTGCTTCTATCTATCTATGGATTTATATAGTGTATAAACAGAGCGAGCCCTGCTTCTATCTATCTATCGATTTATATAGTGTATAAACAGAGTGAGTCCTGCTTCTCTATCTATGGATTTATATAGTGTATAAATAGAGCGAGTCCTGCTTCTATCTATGGATTTATATAGTGTATAAACAGAGCGAGCAATGCTTCTATCTATCTATATATTTATATAATGTATAAACAGAGCGAGCCCTGCTTCTTCTATCTATCTATCTATGGATTTATATAGTGTATAAACAGAGCGAGCCCTGCTTCTATCTATGGATTTATATAGTGTATAAACAGAGTGAACCCTGCTTCTATCTATCTTTGGATTTATATAGTGTATAAACAGAGCGAGCCTTGCTTCTATCTATCTATGGATTTATATAGTGTATAAA